CGCCTGCACGGGCGCCGGGACGGGCACCGGAGTGGGGGTGGGCAGCGGCGTCGGAATTGGGACATCCACGGGCAGCGGCGCGCGGACTCCGACGGTGATAGGGACGGCCTGCCGCCTGCCGAGCAGGCCGCCGCCGCCGCCGAGCAGGCCGCCGCCACCGCCGCCCAGCAGGCCCCCACCCCCGCCACCAAGCAACCCGCCGCCGCCGCCGCCGCCCAGAAGCCCGCCGCCGCTGATGGCAGGCGGCAGGCCGCCGCCGCCGCCGCCGCCGAACTGCGGCCCCGGCGCCTGCGGCCCGCAGGGCCCCACTAGCCCGCTGATGGAGTTCTTGTCCTTAGTCACCCGCCCCGTCAGTGTGAACTTCATGATGCAGTTCCGCAGCGCGCGCTTCCACGTCCACGCGACGCAGCGCGACGCGGACAGGCCGGCGCACAGCATGGCGCACTCGCCGACGGTCTGGGTCTGGAGGGAGCGCGTGTTCCATGAAAAGTAATCGACGCCGTCGTCAACCTGGGAGGTGCAGTCGATCAGGTCGGGGGTGAACACCTGCGGGTGGGGGCGAGGGAGAGAGTGTGTGTGTGCAGGCACGCATACGTGCGTGCGTGCGTGCGTGCGTGAGCACTGATCGAGAGAAGGTGCTTTGCTGCACATTTCCTGACATGCAGGGTGTGACCGCAATTTTGTCAGCTGCAGTGGAAAAAGCACCCAGCAGCTGCGGGCCCAAAAGCGCCACACACAAGCTCCCGCCGCAGCCGCCCCACGTGCACGCCACCCGCCCCGCCCCCGCCCTCTAGCCCTGGGCCCAACCTGGCTGGGCTGCCCGCTGACGGCGTCGAGCTGTATCCTGGGCACCAGGGACAGCGGCGACAGCTCGTAGCCAAAGTAGCAGGTGCGCAGCAGGCGGCGGTACGTCCAGGCGATGCAGCCGACCTCCACCTGCGGCGGGGTTTGATGCCAACGGCGGCCGGTCACCGACCGCGACCGCGCCAATAGCCAGCAGCGCGGCAAGCGCCGATGCACCCCGGGGCTTGCGTCCTGCCCCAATATCTGAAACTCTGGGAGGACCGCGCGGGCTGCAGGCTCGTGATTAAGGGCACCCGGGGCGGGGCCGCGCGGGCACACCTGGCAGATGCCGCTGCAGTCCTCCAGGTCAAGGCTGCCCTGGATGCGCTGCCGAGAAAACACATAGCTGAGGCCAGGGGAGACCTGCTTGTTGCCCGGCAGGCCGCCGTCGCCCGGCTGGCCGCCCTGCTGAGCGGCGGCGCAGGCGGCGAGCAGGCAGAGAGCCAGCGCGGCAGAGGCCGCGGCCGCCCCTGCAGTTGGCAGTGACGTGGTGGTCGGCAACTGGCTGTGGCGTGGGCAGTGGTGAGGGCTGGGCGGGCCGCACAAGCCACAGGATATCTGCATCACCACAGCTGATCGTTCTTTGTGAACCTCAGCCGCGCTGCACACTAGCGCTCGACAGCGCGCACTGCGGCACCTCGTCTCCCACCCCAGGTGACAAGCGCGCGATGCATTCCTGCACACCTGCGCCGGCAGGCTTCATGCCTACGCTGTTGGACACACTCTAGGGATCGCCTCTTACGGCCGTGGGCTCAGAAAAACGGATTCCTGACGGTGAGCGTACACTCCAGCTGCGCAGGCAGCTGATTACGGCAATGATTGTGTCGCTAATGCCGTGAGGCAGGGTGTATTAGTATCGGTAGCTGAATTCACCCAGACAATTGTGATATTGGTCCACAGCACCGCGTGTGTGGGCTGTGCGGGGGCACTGGGTGACAATAGGTACGGTTGAAAGCGCCTGCCATATGACCAGTGGAACACCGCGAATCAGACTGCACCATCTGCCGAAGATGTGGGTCATTGCGTTGGGAACAAGCCCAAGCACGACCATCCAAGCGGTCTGACTCCATGTGCTGGCGTTGCGGCGCACGCTGGTTTGCAGGGCTGCCTAATTGCTTACTGTCACGCGTGCAGCGACCCTGCAGGCTTTCGGAGCCAGGTATGTCAGGTTAAGCACTACCCGAGAACCCCTGTGTTCATCCACCTGGCACAAGCGGCATAATCGTCGGCCTGTGTCTGCCTGCACACCACCTAGACCCAGGCAAAGTCCCAGCTTGCGGGTTTTGATTCAAGCGTGGATGAATCCTCGAGGATATCAGTCATGGCGTACATGCACACTGGGTCGTGCACAGAGCCATTCACCCTCACACGTCCATGGAACACCCACATCTTGTGTCAAATGTACACTCACTCGCTCGTGCATGCGCGCACACACACATGCGCGCGCGCCCGCGCGCACACACACACACACACACACACACACACACACACACACTGTGGAGTCAACGGCCTCAGACGCTAAAAGTGTTCAGCAGTTGTGCAGGCTCGCTGTCTAGACGAGCCCGCTCAGCAAAGATTAAGCCTTAGAATTGAGGATCATCAGGGGCCGTTGTAACCATCACTCGTTCACGAACAAGACCTCTCACACGCACGCGTGCACACGCGATACAAGTGGAATGCGTGATGCGCACACCACATGGATGCAATGGGACCAGCTGGTGCCTGTCAGTGCTGCTCGCAGCAAAACGTGCCACTTGAATCAGACAGACATAATGTTTACATGCTAGTGGGCAATACGTAATGTGGGGATCCTGCGACGATGCAAGAGGCGAGTGTGGGTGCGTCAGTGTGAGTGAGCACGGGAAGTGTGTTTGCGCGCAAGCTGTCTCACATGCGGACGTGTGTGTGGGGGGCGGGGGGGGGGGGCTTGTTATTCAAGCGCGCAAGCACGTGTGAGTGCATTGTCAAGAGTGAACAGAGTCCAAGTGACCGACAGTTATTTCGGACACTAGGCGTTTTGCAGCGCATGGGGCCAACGTCAGGAACACGCCATGCATGTGGGCGCGATCCGAACCCAGCAAACTGGCTGCCAATTGCCGCTCACCGCTCAGACAATGGAGTTGGCAGCGCTGGCAATGCGCGGCCACAGGTCGGCGCACTCCTTCGCAACGGGTCCCGTGATGGCAGAGCCTGGAGGGGCCCAAAGGAGAGCGCGGCGGCAGCTTAATGTGAAGGGCGCGTAGACGAGGGAGGGAGGACGTGGCCCTGGGACGCAGAGCCGCTGCCCGGCTGCCGCGCGGCGCCGTTGCCAGCCGCAGGGTTTGATTGCAGCTGGCCTCCCTGGCTCTGATTGTCTTGGCTCTGACTGTCCAAATTAATTCACTCACACGCGTACTGCAGTTTATGGATTCGCCGCTGAAAAAGCCAAACCACCGCTCTGCGCAGCATGACCTGGACGATGGCTGCGCTGCGTGCTGTTGCAGCTGTACATGCACACATGCTGCGCTGTGCAGCAGCGGCGCCGACCTTCTCTGGCTGCTCTAGCCGCCCTGCGGCGCCAGCCGTCGTTCTGCTGCAGCTCGCACCCATGCGCCCCAAGACACCCGCCCGCCACAGCCCAGGTGCACCCAGCTGGGCCTCCTCCTCCACCCCTGCCCACTCACCCTTCATCTCGCCCTTGGGATTGACGATCACACCCGCGTTGTCCTCAAAGTATATGTAGGTGCCCTCCTTCCGCCGCCACGCCTTCCGCTGCCGCACCACCACTGCCGGGGTGACTGCATGGGCACAGAACCATTTGGCAAATGGTCAGCAGCAGCAACCCCCTCCATGTTGCCGCGACCACCGGAGGTGTTGCCATTGTCGAAAAAACCAACAAGCGAGCCAGGCCGATCGGCAGCAATGATGTTCATCTGCTGCCTCCCGTGCGCTGTCATGGCAATGCAGCAATCCAAAGCGGCAGCAGCAGCGATCTGCAGCAGCGCGTGTGCCGCTCACCCTTCTTGCGCAGGTCAGGCTTGCCCTTCTTCACGCTGGCCATGAACATATCTCCGCAAGAGGCAGACGGCAGCTTGTTCAGCCGAGAGCCCCAGCCACAGACGGAGATAACATAGAGGTTCTTCGCCCCCGTGTTGTCCGCGCAGTTCATGACGGCGGCCACGGGCAAGCCCACCGCCATCGCAAACTTGTTGCCTGACGTGCCTCCGCGCCCGCGCTTCGACATGGCTGCTGCGTCTGCGGGGCAGCAGCCAAGCACGAGTGAGCAGCAGCCACCTCCAGGCGTGCCCTGCTGCCCAAAGCTTGTCAGCAGTTGCAAACCTGCTCGCTCCTAGCCGGCGGCCCGTGAGAAGAGGGATGCTGGGGCAAGCGCAGGCTGGTTTGGCCACTGTCAAAAACAAGTGACTGCTGGACTCCCACCTTGATTGGGCTGTCAAAGGCCATTTTGACGCTGTAAACAGCCTTCACATGTCATGCATACACATGTGAATACATAGCCAACAGGTAGGCGGTTATATATGACCTGACAAGGTCACTCGGGGGCTGCAGCAGTTATTGTGATGGACTCCTCCTTTGAGTGGTTGGAGATTTTGAAGGAGATATAGGGTGTGTTAGAGCGCACATGCACGGCGTGTGTCGCCAGCCCCACAGCAAGCGTGCATGAGTAGAGGTCAAACGCAGGTCAACCGGGCCAAGAGCCCCCCACCCCACCCCAGGACCCCAGGCTCGCCAGGGAGCGATTGACAAGCCAGGATGCTGCCCTAAGCTCGCCTGCAGGACCACCATGAAGGATATCTGTGGACCTTGTATAAACGGCATTCGGACGCGTTGCCAGTGCAACGAAGCAGCCAGCGCACCACCATGGACACTTGGGATCCTTGAATGATGTCAAGGAGATGTCGTCATCCGGTAAATAGGTTGCCAGAACCATGCAGCATCGTCGTTGCGCTGCACAGAGCGTCACCGGCATTGCTGGACGTTGGCGCAACATCTCCGCCAGTTGAAAACTGTGCAAATGATTGCTACTGTACATTCGTGTTGGCATTCTGTACCCGCCAGTGGCCCGCTGAAAGGAACTGTATGAAAGCGTCACAGCAAAATCAATCAAGCGCCGGCTTCTGCATGCCTGCTGCTATGGCTCCGCATGTGCCTGATGCGGCCTGCTGACCTGATTGCTACCGCGCCCCCTCAAACACAGTCCAGGATCGCCATTCGGAAATCTAGGAGGACAGCGTTGAAAAGCCGCACTCACATATTATTTGCTTCGTGTTGACTTGATATTTTGCAGCAGCCGTAAGCTCAGCTGCCCCGCAAGCCCTAGCAGGCCGTCGACGATGCTGCCTGTGATCGTGGGCCGGGCCCTGCCTGGGCTCCTGGTGGGTGGACTGTGTGAGATTGCTGCTTGGCTTCCTACGCGCCCTCCCCTACCAGCTCACGCGGCACTCTCGTTGCTGCAGGCCCAAGCGGGTGTGGCATGCCAAGCTAGGGGCCTCCTGAAGCAGGCTTCAAGAGCCTACTCTTCAGGGAACACAGAGGTAAACATCTGCACTCCGACTGAGACGCCATGAGCAGGGGCAGCGACCTGCAAAACGTGCTGCACAGATCACCTGCGCCCTCAACGGTGGCTCTTCCTCATCTACGGCCCCACAGATGACCGTCCGTGATGCCATCAACTCCGCCCTGGACGAAGAATTGGCACGGGATCCTGCGGTGTACATCCTCGGCGAAGAGGTGGGCGGTGACGCTGGCAGCGCTGCGCCTGCTGCGCCGCTGTACACGACAGCAGCCGCACCCGCTGCTGTGACGGCACCCCTGCCATCCTGTACATGCAAATCCACGTCCACCACGCCGCACACTGCACCCCATGTCGATCGCCGCGCAGGTTGGCGAGTACCAGGGGGCATACAAGGTGCGGGCGCCTGCATGAAAGCCGCGGACCACCCCCCGCGCTTTTGATCACAGTAAAGGCCGCAAGCTCCGTGTATGCCCTAGAGGTGAGGGTCTTGAGGTGGCTTGCATCTGCTTGGTTTCCGCGCAGATCACTAGGGGACTGCTGCAGAAGTATGGAGCGGACCGTGTTCGGGACACGCCCATCACAGAGGTGCGCAGTGGGCGAGGGGGGAGCAACACCAGGAGTTAACAGTATACCCTGTCAGCATGGTTCCATGGGGCTGCGCGGGGCGCTGCAGACGAGCAGAGGTGACGGGGAGGCGCCAGTGCCGTGCAAAGTGGAGCGAATGAGCAGCAGCTTCAGGCTGTAAGGCAGCAGGGGCGGGGTGTGTGCCACAGCATGCGCCACGGGGAACAGAGTTAGCGCGAGCGGCAGCAGCGGCGGCAGGTGCAGCAGCAGGGGCGGCGGCAGCAATGGCAGCAGCAGCGGCAGCAGTGGCATCGGCGGCAGCGGCGGCAACAGTGGCAGCGGCGGCAGCATCAGCTGGAGCCAGTGGCATCTGAGGGACGAGTAGCAGATGCGACAGCGGCAGCGGCAGCTGCAGCTGAAGCGTCCTTCAGTACAGCATAGGCCTGCAGCGCTGGCAGCGGCTGCCGCAGTACTGTGGGCAGCAGTGGTGGCAGAGATGGCGCCAAAAGCACGACAGCGGAGGCGGCAGTTCGGCAGCACCATTGCGCGCACAATGAGCAAAGCGCAAGGGTGGCTTTGCCTCGCGAGGAGACGCGGGCCGCCTAGCAGCAAAGGCCACGCCGAGTAACTCCGCTTACGCAACAGGGGCAGGGGGTGGCCGTGCAAATCACAGCTGCTGGCAGGCTGGATTGACTTCCATCCACAGGGCGATCCGGGCACCACCCGCTTTCGACACTACAAGATGCATGCTCACGCAGGACGAGCAGCTGTGCAACTCGCTGCGTGTCGCGTGCCCAACCCCTTCTCACCTTCATGCACCCCTCCCCCCCCCCTCCCTCCCGCCCCGACCCCGCGCAGCACGGCTTCACGGGCATTGCGGTGGGCTCGGCTTTCGCGGGGCTGCGGCCGGTGTGCGAGTTCATGACGTGGAACTTTGCGATGCAGGCCATCGACCAGATCATCAACAGCGCAGCGAAGGTGAGGGGCGCGGGGCCTTGCGCTGCTGACGTCAGTTCTGTTGCGCAGCTTATCGGAACACACAGCGGCCGGCTTGCGTGGTTGGGTGGGTGCGAACGCAGTGGTTTCTTGGGCGCACGCTTGGCTGTTTGCTTGAGTTCAGAGACGTTGGCACCCTGCTGTCGGCACACGCTGCTCGCTGAACGCCATCACGCCCTTGTCAAATACGTGCAGACACTCTTCATGTCTGCGGGCAAGATTAACTGCCCGATTGTCTTCCGAGGCCCCAACGGCGCGGCGGCGGGCGTGGCGGCGCAGCACTCGCAGTGTTTTGCGGCCTGGTACACGCACTGCCCGGGGCTCAAGGTGCGCTCTTGCGCACAACAGCAACGGCCGCCGGGTCGAGCCAGCAGCAGCGTGCACAGCGCAGCAGCGCAATTGCGGCGTCGAGCGGCAGCTTCCCAGAGGGTGGGGTCACCACGCGAGGGCAGCGATCTCTCACGGACGCAAGAGCGGGGCAGCTGCGGAGGGCAGGCGGGACGGGGTGGGCCGGGGCCAGGCAGGAGCGGCAGCACCGGCGGCACCGGCGCGCCTCACCCTCGACCGTCCTTTGTGCACGCACGCTTGCACGATCGCACAATGCGGCTCGTGCGCGGGCACACCTCAACACCCCTCAACACACACGACACACACACACACACGCACACACACACACACACACACACACATCCATCTTCCCATCGGGTGTGCCCCGCCAGGTGATCTCGCCATACGATGCGGAGGACGCGCGCGGCCTGATGAAGGCGGCCATCCGGGACGACGACCCCATCATTTTCCTGGAGAACGAGATCCTCTATGGGCAGGCCTTCCCCGTATCGCCCCAGGTGCGGCGCCGACGGGGGCCCTGGCCTCGTCGCTGGCGTGGTATGTGGAGGCGCACCGCTGCGGGTGGCGCCCGGCCGAGGGCATAGCCGCGCGCGGCCGGAGGCGGCGGGACGAGCCGTCCTTCCGCCGGCAGGCGGCGCGCCCTGTGGGTGCGCCG